AGTGAATTATCTTGACCCCTTTATCAAAAATCAAGTGACCATAAATGTTAGGATTTATTCCTGGACTCTCAATTCGAATTCACTGATTCCAAATATCTATTCTTATGAGGCCTTCCCTTCCTACCGAGCAGAAGCTGAGAGCTCCCTGACCAGAGTTTCCACTGGAGACCTTATATTTGAGGAGCTGGGTGGGGTGGGCCCCTCAGGGCCGACTCCAGGGACAGGTAGCACTGTTAGGGAGGAGGAAGGGCTTCAGGCTAGGCTGGAACATGGAACGAACAGGGGGTTGTAGGGGGTTGCGGCCCTTTCACCTGTCTGGGGGCAGTGCTGGTCAGCCTGCCCAGGTCACATTCCTGGGCAGCCCCTGTCCTGGAGGCCCCTGTAGGGAGGAGCGAAGAGGGCGGGCACCGAGAATGCAGTGTCTCACTAGGCAGTGGGGAGGGGGCCTCCTGCCCAGCCCGCCACCCTGGACGGTCTGCCTGCTCTCCGTCCTGCCGCCTGCCAATCCCAGCACCTCACATTCCCCAGCTGCCCTGAGGAATCTGTGTGGAGCCTCCACTTACACTAAGGCCAGGGGTGTCAGGGCTCAAAATAGCCAGGCCACTGGGCCCTGGAGGGCACACTTGGAGAACAGGGAGAGACAGGTGGGGAGATACCCAGTGCCCCTCTGCCCCCATGCTGTCTGGATGTGCAATGAGTGAAGGGGAGATGAAGATGGGCCGCCCAGTCCCCTCCTCCCATAGGTAGTATCTGCAGAGCTGACTTGGATCCTGTGAGTGGGAAGGTGCCTGGGAAACTTGGAACAAGGTGAGAATTTCCCAAACCAACTGCCCAGCCAGGCCTACTGCAGCTGTGGCCTTTGACACAAGGAAAAGCAGCAACGCTGGAGGAGGGAGGCAAAGGTTGGGGGTCCAAAGGGGCTCAAGACGGCTGAGCCTGGAGCGACACAGGGGCTGTGGGCACAGTGACAGGCAGCTTCTCTGGGGGAGTCAAACATACTTTATTCAACATAGGAATGTCTCAACAGGAGGGCCTTGGGCAGGGTTCCCTGAACTATGCTTCAAACCCCACTGGAAACAGAGCAAAGATCATCACAAAAACCCGGGACACCAGGGCAGGGGGCTGCACAAGGTCAGGTCAGGTCACAGTGGACAAGCACACAGTGGCCCCGCCCAGGGCCAGCCCAGCCTGAGAGAGGGGATGAGGGCTCCAGGCAGCTCACTCAGAAAAGCAAGGGTGGGAGGAGGACACCAGCCTGGCCCACTCAGGGAATTCTTTCTACCACTGAAAGCAGTGGGGATTAACTTAGCTGGGGCTGCCACACCAGCACATGATTACAAGGTTCGGGGTGACAGGGAGGAGGTCCCTTGGCAGGGCTGTGCAGCCCTCACAGCCACATGCACGGCAGCCCTGCCAGTGGCTTCCAAACAGCAAATCATCAGTGACACTGACCTTCCCGGCCCAGGACACCCCTCCTGAGACCTGGGGCCAGTGTGGTGAGGAGTGGGCACTGGGGGGCAGAGCTAGGCAGGCTGCAGGCAGAACCAAGAAGACCTCAGTCCCACACTGAAGCCATCATGATTGCGGGTGGGGAAGATCTCAGGGTCTCCACCAGGGAAGAGCATCAGTCTGCACCCTTGGCCTGAGGGTGCGCTTGTGGGCAGGGCCCATGCAAGGCCTGAGAAGAAGCCAATCCCGGGGGAGGGAAGCCCTGTGAGCTGCAGAGCAGCCAAGGCCTCTGTTCCAAGCACTCCCGGCTGTGCTATGTAGTGCAGGACAAGAACAGGGAGAGAGGAGGGGGGGAGCGCAGGGTGGGGTCAGGGAGATAGATAGCCTATGACCCCTGGGGGTGACAGGGAGAAGCCACTCATGATGGCCTAGTTGGGTCCAGCTGAATGCCTGATTAACAAGCACGAGAGGGGGGTGGGCAAAGGACGCAAATATCACCTTCCTGGACCCACCCCTGCTAACCCAAGAGTGGGACATGTTACCAGCGTCCCCTTCTAGGGGAGAAGCTGTATTGCTTCCCCCTACTACTCCTGCTAGAAACTACAGTGGCGGATGCAGGGAACTCAAAGTCTAGATATGAATGTCATGGGTGCTCCTTCCATCTACAATGCACGGGGAAGATGAAAGGACTTTGGGATGGCGTGGGAATGCAGACTGGCTCACCACCAGGAGGCGGGAAGGGCTGTCTGGATGGAGGGAAGCTAAGAAGGCAAGGTTGGTGCCCAGTGGGTATGAGTGACCACGAGAAAATCACTACACTACACACAAAGCTAGGGTGATGGGAGGCCCAGGGAGGACTATTCTATCTAAATGACTCACAGACGGGTGCCACGAATGCGCTGGTGCCCACAGATCACAACCACAGGCAGAGAAGCACAGCTGATCACTGTGGAGAGAGGTGGGGAGGGCAGCATGGGGCACATGGCCCTCACAGGGGCTCACTCTTCAAACTTCCCTTCCCGAATATGCTCGAAGGAGAAGGGTAGGAACTTGAAACCGGTCCCGCTGTAGAATTTATTCTGGAACTCAACCCTGGAGAAAGAGAAGAACGACGCTATCATTCAATAGAAACTTTGTGAAACTTTTTGGCACTTCACAGTTGGGCCAGAAAGATGCCCCGTGCCCACCTCGCCCCAAGCCTCCCTTCCCCAGGGGAGCTGGAGAAAGCCCAGAGTGCAGAGATCCCACTTTTAAGGCCTGGGACTTGCCTCAGCAAGAGTTTGACGTATGGAGGAAGGGACGTGCCCTCAGTTCCCAGTCTTGCTCTGTCCTGCCGAGCAGTGTGTGTTTATGCACAGCTCTCTGTACAGAGGCATGTGCAAAAAAAGTTCAGTTAGCTTGAGCCTAACATCGTTAATGAAGGAGTGGCCCCCAACGCCCCCTCCTGGCAGGGGATCACACAGCCCACCTCTAAGGGAAGCCCCCTCCAGGGACCCTGGGCAAGCACCTCTGTTTGCTTGTTATTTTTCCTGCGGGGAGCTAGAAGGGTGAGCTTGGAGTGAATGTTGAAGGCTTTCCATTTAAGGAAGGAAATTCCCAGGAAAGAGGGGGAGTTAGGAGGGGAAGTCTTCTCAAAGCAATGGCAAAAATATTCTCCAACCACAAAAACATCTCAGAAAGTATTCTTCTCTTGGGGAGTTAAAAAAAAGCCTGAGCTCCCTTCCCAGCAGTTCAACAGCCATGCCTGATAGTCTCTGTGGGACTCTTGCACTCTCAGGGAGGGCGGGAGGAAGACTGTCCCATAAGCAGAGCTGGGCTGCTTGGCTGTGCTTCCTCCTACAAACTCACCCTGGACAGCTGCCCAGCAACCAAACCACACCAAATAAGGGCAGAAAAATGCATGATTCAGAGAATAAAAAGGCCAAGGAGAACTGCCCTGAGGAATAGTTTCCACATGGTGCTGTGTGACCCTGGAGGCACTGGAGCCCCTGTAAGAACAGGCAGGGGTGGGGCTGTGGCAGGCTCCAGGTGACAGGTCATGTGCAGGGTGAGGGCTTTGAGGCGCTTTAAAGCTTCAGGAACCCTCGAGTTCCCTAACTCAGTCTTTACAAACAGCTTCCTCCCTCCAAGCCAAGAAGCAGGAATTAAGAGAATAGGGGCTGGGAGGTGGCTGGGGACCAAAGGTTACAGACAGTTTACCAGTGGCATTGGGAGCTCCTCAGAGGCCCTTCACTGGGGTGCAGGCTGAGGAACACCCCCTTGGAGAAGACACAACAGAATTTTCTGAGTGGGAGTAAAAGCAGTCGGCTTTCTCCCACACATCCCCACATTCCACAGGGGTGGGTCAAGGTTTTCCAGGAAGAACAGGACTCAGGAGGGGGAGGACACAGAGCTTCCAACTGACGTTAGCTCAGGGTTCCTGTCAGGGCAATTCCAAACCAGGCCCTGGATTCACCCATGTCCCAACACCACACCAAAACTACTTCTCCAAGTTCCAGTTACTGAGACCACCTCTGAGAGAATGCAGTGGGGCCTAGCGGTAGGTTCCTGCTTCTCACCCACTTGTGTTAGGTTTGAATTCTTCATATTGAATAGACTGTGTTCCCATGTGGCAAGGGTTATTTCAGAACAGCTGAAAAGAGATTTGTATGTCCCCTTTTCATTCAACAATACATAGCCAGAGAGTGCACAAGTCACCTGAGGGTCCCAGGCCATTACCTAGGAGTGAATGTCAGCCTTGGTAGGGTATGCTGACCCCCAAATCCAGTGAGATGTCCAGAACTCTGACCCCACTCCCTGCCTGGCTAATCACAAAACCATTCTAATCTCCAAACTGGTCAAATGCAGCAGCAGCTTTGTTTTCAGATGCCTGTGGGGGCACCACCCTTTTCTTGGCACCCCTCCAGTCACCTTATCTACCCATGGGGCCCAGCGAGGAGGAAGAGGGATATATGCCCGGGAGGGGCACATCAATTGTACTGTGTGAGCAGACAGGTGGCCTCCCCGACATACTGCCCAATACTGCCCCTCCCACCAGCTGCTGCTTTAGAGACTTAGAGTGGCCAGAACTGGGACATCTCGGGTCTATCTTGAGGTCAGCCTGATTTTACCTCCTTCCCTGGCCACCCTCACCCCAACCACCAAACACAAAGCTGGAAAGCAATTTCCCTGCCAGTCTCCCCACCCTCTCCTGTTGAACTGGGGAAAGGTGTGCTTCTTGAGAAAGTACAAACATGAAGTTCCCTGGGGCAAGGAGGGCCCCATCTGCCATCCTAGGTTCTTCCTTCTTTTTGGGCCTCTCCACTGCTCTGCTCAGGGAGACTCCAAGGTCTCGCCATGCCCCAAGCCACTGAAATGCACCTCTAGAATTCAACAGCTGTGAGGAGAGCCTCAGGAAACCAGATGGGTGTCTCTATCATCTCTTCCAGCTCCAGCACTTGGCAAAGGCCACCGGGTGACTCAGAGGGATTAACTGGGACCAAAAGACATCATTCCTGCCACGTAACAGGAACTCTTGTTTCCTCGAGTGGGTGAAGGAGGAAGGAGTCTTGGGGCCACTTCCCTTTCCTGGTGGGGGTTGTGACTGAGGGCAGGCAGTGTGGAAATACAATTCTGGGCTGACCTGTTTATCTAGCCCATTCTGCCACTCTCTGTGCAGTTCAGGGCCTAGAACACACATCCGTCTGATAGCCCGAATATCAGGGCAATGAGGGCGGCCTGGAACTACATTTTAAGAGTTCTGAGTTCTCCTGGGCAGCCATTCCCTCAACTGCTCCATGCTGTCATGCCATGGCAACACTGCATTCCTATCAAGGAGTTGGTCCCTGATTCTGTCCCTTTAATCGCCACCCAATCTGTGAGTATACAGGTGGGTGTACATCTATGTGTATGTGGAATTCGCTAGGTAAGGAGAAACCAGGTTCCTTGGAAGGTAGGCCCTGGGGCAACAGTTCTGCATACAAATCAGTTTGATGTTTACAGTGGTAACTACAATCAAATCCCTGTCTCATGCCTTCTCTGAAGAAGACAAGACGTCTAATTACAGTAGGTAAGAAGCCAAGCACCCTTTATGTGGCAGGAGGGAGGAAAAGAGAGAGAAAACTTGGGAGACAGAATTAGCTGCTTAATACCTTAACCTGCTCACGGTTTTCAAACACATCACCCCCCTTCCTATGACGCTGCATGAATCTCACACTAGTGGTTTATATGTTACCGAATCAAATGTTTTTCTCATTGTCCCCACTGAAGAGACCCAGAGCTTGTATAATGGGGCAGCCCTTGAATCAGGAAACAGCAGGCACAAAGTGGGAAATATGAAGATGCCTAGGCTGGATGCCAGGAAGAATAGCAGCACCATCCCTACAGCTGGTTCAGCAGCCCCAGAGACTCCACCTGGCTCCACCCTGGTAAGAGGGCCACAGCTCAGAACGCCTCCTGCAGTCCTGGGCCACAGGGAAGATCCAGGCATCCTGGACGCACAGCTGCATTTTGCCAGGAGGGGGCGCACAACCACCAACTTCATTCACTCCTGTTTCAGTGGTGGGGGAGGCACCCCACTCACGTCGCAGGGACAGCCCTCCAAAGATGAGATTCTGGAAGCTGCACAAAGGAGGTCTGCACTGTTTATTCCTCTCCTACCCAATACTCCTATTACCAAAATACATACGACATATACGGGGAGGCTGTTCCTTGCAAACAGCACCTGAGGGCATTCTGATGGTATTCCTCTGCCTCCTGTGGGGTCTCCTCTCATTCTGGACAGGTTAAAAGCAGTTTCTTTATGGGGGACCCCAGGCAGACACCCTCTCTCCAGGGCATCCCACTTTTTTTTTTTGAGACGGAGTCTTGGTCTGTCGCCCAGACTGGAGTGCAGTGGTGCAACCTCGGCTCACTGCAACCTCCATCTCCTGGGTTCAAGCAATTCTCCTGCCTCAGCCTCCCAAGTAGCTGGGATTACAGGCACCCACCACCACGCCCAGCATTTTTAGTAGAGATGGGGTTTCCCCATGTTGGCCAGGCTGGTCTCGAACTCCTGATCTCAGGTGATCCGCCTGCCTTGGCCTCCCCAAATGCTGGGAGTACAGGTGTGAGCCACAGTACCCAGCAAGGGCATCCCACTTTTAAGCAGAGCAGCCGCGACCCATCCTGGAGCACCTGCTTTTTGCTGTGGCAGCACCTGGTGTGTGCATTACTTCCTACTTGCTCACAGTAACCTTGGTAGTGAATGTTCTGCTCAGGTCCCCCCCGTGCTGTGACAGAGCTGGAATTCCAACCCAGGTCGCCCGATTCGGAAGCCTGCTGTCCTGTCACTCATCACTTCAGTTCAGGGGGACATGGGAAGACACGGGGAGGCCACAGGTGAGCCTGAGGAGGAAGCAATCCTCTGGCAACAAAACCAGGCTCAGGCCCAGGCGACCTTGCTCTGCAGCAGTGCCCGGCTCCCGCCCTGCCCAGGGAGGAGATGACTGGCTACCCACGTGGGCTGGAATCAAGGTGAGGTGGTCACTGTTCCCTCAAACCCAGGGCTCAAGGGACAGGACTGAAAAGAAAAGGAAGGAGACCAAGGGGCAAGAAAAAGTGAATCCTCAGAGGTTTCTCGTGCACCGAGGAGGGCTGAGGAAGTGTGCTTGGGGGAGGGGGGTCGGCTGATAAGCTGAGAATACGGGGGCCAGCCAGATGAGCTGGGTGGGGAGGAGGGAGGCCAGACAGAAGAGAGCCAGGCCAGAGGAAGCTACGTCTACTGACACAGCAGGGTTTCTGAAGAAGAGTGCACCCCAGCCACGTCTTGCCCTTCCATGCCTCACCCTCCGCCCATCATTCAGAAAAACCCACAGCTGAATCTTTGAGGAGGCTCGCGGTCACCCAGCCATGAGAAAATCAAAGATAAAGGAGAGTGGGGAAGGAGTTTCTCAGGTTCAGATGCTGGATTTTCTTCAGGTTTGGAGAACGAAGAGAACATTCATAGTCTTCTTCTGGCCTTGGGCTCATGAACACAGAGCATCCCATCCAGGGGCCTCCAAGGCACACCAGTGAGTCAGACCCCTATGCTCGTAAAACAGGAGGAGTGTGTGAGTGCTTCTCTGGGGAGAGGGGCCAGAACTTCCAGAGACACTGGGGTTTGGAGACCCCAAAAAAGAGAATCACAACATAAAGGAGGAAATAGAGACCCAAAGAAGTGGAGTCTGAGGTGGAATAGCCACAGAAAATACAGACTGCCCCAGTTTTTAGTATAAGCATGTCCCATGCACATTTGGGAAATACTCATACTGAAAAAATTATTTGCTGTTTATGTGAAATACACACTGTATTTTTTTTTTTTTTATTTTTTGAGACAGAGTCTTGCTTTGTTGCCCAGGCTGGAATGCAGTGGCAGAATCTTGGCTCACTGCAACCTCCACCTCCTGGGTTTAAGCAATTCTCCTGCCTCAGCCTCCCAAGTAGTTGGGATTACAGGCATGTGCTACCACACCTGGTTAATTTTTGCATTTTTAGTACAGACGGGGTTTCACCATGTTGGCTAGGCTGGTCTCGAATTCCTGACCTCCTCCTGACCTCGAATCACCTCCTGAGGCAAGTGATTCACCTGCCTTAGCCTCCCAAAGTGCTGGGATTACAGGCGTGACCCACCACACCCGGCCACACTGTGTTTTTATGTGCTAAATCTGGCAACCCTGGTTTGAGGTGGTCACAGCCCAGACTACACCCCCGCTCTCCCAGTCCCAGAGGCTGAACTCATGCTTTCTCCACACAGAGCCATTAGGAGTCCATTAAAGAAAACAAACAGAACCACCCCAAACCTGCCCTTCTGAAGAAGCTTCGTGAGTGTACCAACCTTCACCCTATAGAGCCAGGAATCCCCCCAGCCCACAATGGAGCTGCCAAGGGTCCAACTCAAAGACCCCTGGCACAATGACAGAACAACGAGGGCAAAGCTGGGGTGCAGTGTGCTCTAGCCTTTCCTGCACTTAGCATCCATTCCAGAGCTGCTTCCACTGTTCTGAAGACAGAAGAGTTACACACCAGAGAGAAAACCAGAAACCCTATGACCCCAGCAGCCCCTCTAAGCCAAAATCAGGAGCACTGGGGACAGCTAAAGGCAGGGAGCGGGACCTGACACCACTCACCAGGGACCTCTCCCTAGAGTCTAGGGAAGGCTGAGTTGTGCTTTTCTGTGATCATTTTCTGAAACTCAGTGGCAAAGCTGGTGCTGGGGTGTCCTGAGGTAAAGCTAGTGCAGGGCCAGCTCATGTTTCCTGCACAGAGCTGCAGGGCTGTGTTGGGAGAAAAGCTGCCCTCTCACCGCAGCTAAGGACACATTCACCCCCACGCCCGCCCTGCCCCACTGCCCCTCACCAGTGTAAGCGCAGTGCATGGAGAAAGGCTGAGAGGCCCTCCATGATCAGGAGGATGGCCACGGTCAGGGTGGCAAAGGCAGCGAAGATGAAGAACAGCGCCAAACCTCCTGCCAGGCTCTTCACGCTCAGGCCGATGTGGATCACCATGGTCCAAAGCACCTCAGACAGCTCTGGGGAATGGGAGACACAAAATCCAGTGCAGTTTGGCAAGAGGCAGCTGTAGGCAGGAATTTTGCTCTGCCATTCCCCCACTAGGGTTCCCTGGACCCTGGCTTCCCACTGCCTTAGTGGGACCACCATGCAGAGCTAACCTGGCAAAAGTGCCGAGCCTCCTGTCTGTACTCATTCTCCTTGCGTTCAGGAACCTGAATAATTCCAGAACCTTCATGTAATTTCCATTCTACTTAAGCTCCCCAACTGAGAGTACGACCACAGAGGGGGAAACTAGAGTTCCGGAGCCCGGAGAGGGGTACTCACGTGCATGAGCAAGGCTGAGGGCCCACAGCCGCAAGTAGGAGGCAGTGTTGGAGATGCAGCCCAGGCAGTACTCGATGGTGTGGATGGCCTGGTGGACCATGGTGTCCCCAAAGTCAAACTGTCATGGGAGGAAACCAGAGAGAAAACGTAAGGCTAGGAGGGGAATGTGCAGGCATTCTGAGTTGTGGCTACCTGGCGCTTTGAACCTGGGCCAGGGTAGGGGACTGCACTTCCCATGGTTGGCACCTCAACTTTGGAGCGGCCAGAAGCACCCAGTGTTGAACACAGGTGGTGATTTCGGCAATGCCTTCCCCAAAAATCCTGCCTGGCTTAGCCCTCACCTGGGACACCTCCATTCCCCTCAATACACTTTCATTAACTACATCTTAGTAAGATTCTTCTCGACACATTTGTTTTTCTCCCTCTGGGGCTCTGTGCTCAAGAGGGGAGCGTGTGCTGAGTTGAGACACTGTTGGGAAAGTGACTGTCTGAGTCTGGGACCCTAAGGACCTGCAGGAGGGCAGGAAGGGATTTTCCCCAGACTGCGCTTCAGGAGATGGGCTCTCAATCTGGACACTGTCCTGAGAAGACTAGGCCTCTACAGCCACTTTACTTATTCTTCTTACAGCCTTTAGGGAGCAAGATAACCTTCTTTTTCTTTTGTGACGTCTAAAGAGATTACACGGTGAATTTTTTTTCCCTACATGATTTCACCACCATGTACAGGGAAATCCTAACGGAGTGTACAAATTTCCACATGGGTTAAGGCCAAACAGCACATCTCCAGTTTGTTTGTTTTTTCTTCAAGCTCCCTTTGTCCCAGTTTTCCTTTCAATACCAAGAATTATTTCCAGAATAAAGGAATGGGCTGGAACAAGCTCTTGGGAGTGCACTTTCAGGATTGCTCCAAGCACAGTCAGGGGTGAACGTGGGCTTTTGAATTTGGTATATTCTGGAAGCCCCAGGTACTTTCCCTGGGCCTCTCACTCTGTCAGGCTGACCAAAGACCAGGAGGCACTCCTTTACGGGGCTTCCCCCATAGAGCCCAGACCACAATCCTCTGAGCTTTCAGATACTCCTGAGGGCTCAGTGGCCTCCCCATCGGCCCCTGCTCTCAGATCAGGGTCTATTTTTCGCAGCAGTTCCTTTAAAAACCCACGTGATTCCACTCCCAAAGGACACCAGAAATGCCTTGGGAAATCACTGAGAACATGGGGATGGGAGAAAGTGGTTCGGCTGGTAAAGCCACAACAGCCCAGGTCACAGGCGTGCAGCCAGTGTGGAGGGGGCTGGCTCCACCATGCCATCTCTGGGCAAACGTCTGCTTTTCCCTCACCTCTGTCGACACCTAGTCTATTTCTGGGCTTTTCTTCCAGAACAGGCTCTTCAAGTGTCCTTACTTACCCTGAAAACTAGGGTAATCCTAGTTCCCTGAGTTTCCTAAATCGTAACACCATGGTTAAGAGCTCTCTCCTACCACTGCTGGTTGCCGCCACAGGGCCTGCATCGAAAGGAAGAAGTCCATGGCTCCCAGGAGTGCTGATCTCTACTCCTATGGGCCAGGGGGGCAGTGACCACTGGGCTCCCTTGCAGCCAACCCTTCCGTGTTTTCATTCCACCTCAAGTTTCTCCCACTGAAAAAAGTGCAGGATGGGAGAGAAGCCTCGCTTCCAGGCCTTACCCTTGCCTTCTCTCCTTCATTCCCAGCTTCCTGCAGGCATTCTCAGGAGAGGCAAGGACTGGGTGAGAAATCCAGCCTAGCACTTATGAGTCTGCCACTCAGCACACACCCAGTATCAATCAGCCATGACTGACCATGAATCGCTGCAGAGTCAATGTCCACATCCTCTGCCTCAGTTTCCTCTCTGCCCAGCCAGTCGTCACCCTACTGCACCCTGGCTTCCACTTTCACTCCTCCACAAAATGCCTCTACTTAGCAAGGTCACCCTGACCTCCCAGTTGTTACATCTTTTTTTTTTTTTTGAGATAGAGTTTCACTGTTCACCCAGGCTGGAGTGCAGTGGCGTGATCTCAGCTCATTGCAACCTCTGCCTCCCGGGTTCAAGCAATTCTCCTGCCTCAACCTCCTTAGTAGCTGAGATTATAGGCGCACACCACCACACTCGGCTGATTTTTGTACTTTTAGTAGAGATGGGGTTTCACCATGTCGGCCAGGCTGGTCTTGAACTCCCGACCTCAGGTGATTCACCCACCTTGGCCTCCCAAAGTGCTGGGACTACAGGCGTGAGCTACCGCACCCGGCCCAGTTGTTAAAGCTAACAGACGTTCTGTGTCCTTGTCCATGCTCTTGCAGTGTCTGTCACTATGGCCTCTTCCTCCTTCTTGAAATACCTGCCTCCCCTTGGTTTTCCTCCTACCTCTCCGGACAGTTCTTTTTAGTCTCTATCGAGGTTTTTTTTTTTTTTTTCCTTTTTTGAAACAGGAGTGCAGTGGCATGATCTCAGCTCACTGCAACCTCTGCCTCCCAGGAGAATCAAGTGATTCTCCTCCCTCAGCCTCCCAAGTAGCTGGGATTACAGGCGTGAGCCACTGCGCCTGGCCTTGGGACCTATAGCTTTCACTTCTTTAATATCTCATATTGGTTCCTTCCTTTCCAACTCGTCCTACAAACACCTTACTTCACTTCAGGCTTTCTGTTCTGTCCTGAATGACATCAAATGATGTGTCCATGCCTCCTGACCTTGCCCCTCCCCAACCCAATATACCCTACAACATGGTCACTGGGGGTATTTCCTCAACGCACCATGGCTATGTCACCACCAGCTTCACCACCGTCTCTTGGATGGCTCCTTGTTGTCCAAATGAGGCAAAAACTACTATGGCTGGTTTCTGCCAACCTCCAGTCTCACCTGTCCCCAGTTCCCCGCTCCTGCCTCTGCTCCAGCCAAGCTGAATACTTGCTAGTCCCCAACATGTGATGGGCCTGCAGGTCTTTTGCCTGTGAAGCTGCATATGCTGGTGGTCTGCATCGCTCCTCTACAGGGCCTCCTGCTTGACCAGAGTAAGATAACTTCCTTAGGGAGTCCTTCCAGGGTCTCCTTTTCCACCCTCACCCCAGTGTTCATCAGCTGCCCTCTTTCTGTGCTCCCATAGCATCTGGGGCACACTTCTATCACAGCACCTGTCATCCAGACTGTCTCCCCACTTTGGGAGGTCTTTGAAGGCAAGCACTATGTTTTTCTCTGTTTCTGTAGCACTATACATAGTGCTGGACGCATGGAGGGTGAGTGAATGCATGGATGGGTGGGATGAATGCACCTGGTGAGGAGACAGTGGGGAGAGGTGCCACTGACCCTTGCTGAGTGGTCACGGCCTTTGAAGATTTCCCAGACAACCAAGTGGCCTGGCTCTGGTGTGCAGCTGGACTGAGTCCCCACTAGGGAGAGGTACTAATGCTTCCACTGGGCTGGAGCAAGGGCCTGCATGGGACAAATACATTTTCACAGCCAAGCAAAATGGGGAAATTCCAGAAGTAGGCTGAACTTTTTTTTTAGGAATCTGTTTTGTTTGAAATCATTAGATAAATGTCATGGGTATCTAAATTTGGCTATAGAGAACCAGACTGTGTATGTGCCTGATAAAAATAAAATGTTTAGACTACTTGGGTAGCCAAGGGTAGCTGAATCCCTGAGTGAGCTGGGTGGCCAGGGATTGGGGGCTGAATTAGAGTCTATCTTGTTGGATGTCCAGCCTCCCGGGATATGGCTACAAATGAGAACACTGGTGCACAATAGCTGGTCAGACCATTCCGACAATGTGGGTGCATGGCTAGGAAGACATTTAAAAAGCAGTGTTGCTGGAGGCAGTGAGCCTGGGAAAGGGTTGGGCTCCTCACTAACATGGAGCACACCCCACCCATCCCTGCCAGGTAGCTCAGCCAGGGACTGCACAGATGAGCAGTCCAGGAATATAGACACTCTCTGATGCCAGCAAAGGAGCCTCTCTAGGCTTCAGGAAGACCAGGCCCTGCCTGTGTTTACATAGAACAGCAAAGGCTTTCCCATTCCCATCCCACTGCTCTCCTAGAGAGGACCAGAGAGTCAGGAAGGGAAGGTTACAGTTTGTGGGTCTAGGCATTTTAGAGAGAAGTGCTGGGGGAAGATGCAAACAGTGCAGCAAGGCCTTTTAAAAACCCAATTTAAAGAGTGTACGTTGCTAAGTAAATTACTGCTGAGCCAGAGGGCCTTCTACTCGAGATGTGGCCTGAATAGTTAGTCAACTTGCTTTCCAGTCTCTGTTATTCTCTGTTATTCTCTATGTGTGGCTGATATAGTATTAACTCCTTTCACCCAGATGGATTATTTCCTTTGGGATGCATCTGGAAGGCAAAGCCTCCTTTTGAAAGCTGTCTCCCTCTCACCTGGGTCACATGGAGGTAGAGCTGACCCCGAGAAGGGTCCACCACTTCTAAGTTGAAGCATCATCAAGCTGAGGAGGGCAGCAGGAAGAGGCTGGCTCAGACAGGGAGGAAGGGTAAGCTTTGCTCACAAGCACTTGGAGGAGCAGGGAGGAAACGGCTACTTCCAGTGGCTGGGAGTAGAACAACCACAACATCACAGGAGAGGAAGGCAGAGGCCAATGGGACTTAACCCGCAAGAGGAGTCACTTCAAGAATGCCAGTGCAGACATTACTTGTAGCTCCTTTCAAAGCCATTCTCTGAGGCATTAGATCAGCAAAGTCAATGAAACAAAGACAGAGGTGACCGAATGAGATGCAGTTAATGGAGATGAGCTTTTTAGAACACAGGTTCACGAACTGGTTAGAAATGGCCAGTGAAATGCAGGATGCACAGGAGTCATGTGTGTGGCCCCAGGGTGTGGCAGGGTCAGCAGAGTGATTACAAGGATGGGAAGAGAGAAGCCCAGATAAACACGAAGGCAACGCCAACTTTCATCTTACCACTTCATCCTCGGTAGGCTTGAAAACACAAATTTACACTTAGTGGGGAGCCACGCCACACACAAGGTCACAAGTTAGGAGCACAAGGCTACTGAATGCTTCTTGGGGAGGATTGTTCATGTTAAATGGGCTAGCACGTTGGAGGCAGGCCTCCTCAGCATACACACAAAGCGAAATCAGCAGGAATTTAGCGCATTAAGATAGGTACTTTTTAAAGGCATCCCCAGGCCTTGTGATTTCTTTTTTAAAAAAGCATATATAGTGAAAGTGGTCAGACAGACTGAAAAGTCCAACTTGGGTCCTCAACTCCTATTTTATTTGATTTAAAAAGAACATAATGAGCAGATGAGATTTAATAGTTCCGTTCAGAGGCTCTGTGCTACAAGGGGTCAGGCAAGGAGAGTGGGCTTGGAGGTGCTATCTTAAGGAAAAGTCTAGTTTGGCCTAATTCTCTCTCTCCCTGTAAAAAGTAGGCAAATGACACCAAAAAGGCTCAAACAAAATATCTGCAGCAAGAACACATCAGTGGTATAGGACTTCAAAAGTACCAGTGATTATAGCTGGTGAGTAATGCAAATGGAATGATCCTTGGAAGGGTCAATGGATGAAGAAGCTGTGCTTAGTGACCTGTGTTTCAGGTCGTAAGAGTTGGGATGCTGAGGCCTGCTCTGCCTCAGGCGAGAGAGCAGTCAGTAATGGAGACCTGCGTGCAGAGCACTGCAGGCAAAATCTGGAATTCAAGACAGGAACAAAACTGCTGCAGGCTCTGGGGGCAACAGCTGGAGCTTAGGGCAGGGTCCACTGGAAAAAGCTGTGGTGCCCTAAGAGGTCCAGAAGGCAGGCTGAGTATTAATTAGTATTTTTATTTTTCAAGGAGAAGACTGGAGTGAGGCCTCTTAGGGTACACAAGACTAGGGCTGACCCGAGGTGGAAGGAGAGGAAGCCCACACCACGGGATCTTACCTCATCTGCGTCCTCTGAGTGGGTGGAGAGCTGGTCATGCTGAATAATCTCAGCATCCTCCTCTGTCGGTCCGTTGCCCACCCTGATCCCACCAAAGTTGAGAGTTCCCTACACAGATGAACAGAAAGAGTAGAATTTGCCTGGGCTTTAACATGACATTCTGTGAGGTGGGAAGGGCGATGGTTAGTAACACAAACCTCAGAAAAGCATATAGTCTAACAACAAAAACAAAACCCACTGACTGAACAGCTAAGTAAAATCAAACAACTGTTCCACCCCAACCACCACCTTCCCCAGCCCCAGACCAACCTACAGTTATCACCTTACCCTGCTTCAGAGGAAATATGCAGTTCTGTCTACTGTGCCAAGAGGCACCAGCCTCACCTGGGTCAACGCTAATTGAGAATCCTGCTTGAATGAAAACCTTAATAGGAACAGATTCTCATTACAAGTACAGCTCTATCTGTAAAGCCTGCAAGGGCCTAAGCTTTTCTGGCACTAACAATTAGACTTTCTAAGAGGAAGAGGGGCCAAATGACATGGTGATTGTACACTAGTCTGATAAGCTTTTAACAGGAGCCCAAGAATTCCAGCAACCTCTTCCAGAAATGTACCATGTCTCTGCCCAGGAACAAAGAACTTCCAAGGTCAGAGAAGGAAAAAAAAAGCTTAATGTATATTCACTTGTGGCTAGAGAGTGCTGAGCTTAAAAAGATGAGGAGGGGGCTCTTTTTCTTCAGCGGAGGGCTCTGGAATGTTAAAATAATTCTTCCACAGGCACGCGGGCAGACGTTGACGGGGCATTTGCTTCTTCTGAATTCACAGGCACAGTCTTTGGTAGGGTCTCCAAAAGTACAATTTTAAAGTCAACTTGATTTGAAAAAACTTGAGTTTTTCCAAACCCAAAGCAAAAAAGACTCTTTGGGAACAAAAACCAGGCAGAAATGAGTTAAGTCTCACAGATCCCAATTAGTGCTAACCTGCCACAGCATGAAAAGGAATTTAAACAACAGCCCCAGATTCACTTCATATAGTTTCTGTCCAGAGGGCCAAACAAGGCAAGAGCTCAAGGGCGGCTCTCCAGCAACCTGGCCTTCAGGCAGCAGCACAAGCAGTGTGCAGGTGGCCTGCGCAGCTGCCCTGTGCTCCTCATCCTCAGCTCTACCTCCTGGTGTGCATTTCTTGCCACAGCTCTTGTCACAGTTTAATGCCCAGCTCAGACCTAAGTGTTTGCACAAATCCTCCCTCCTACTCTAGCAGTGGTCCTTAACATGCTGGTCAGAGAACTAGCTGCGTTAGAATCACCCCAAAAGCTGCATTTTAAATAGAAATTCTCAAATACTACTCCCAGAAATTGTAAATTTAGTAGTTCTGGGGTGGGGCCGAATAAATCTGTATTTACAAAATATGTTCCCAAGTACAAATTGTATAATCATTGTGAAGGGTTCATCAAAATTTTAAATGCATGAACCCTTTGAGATTCAGCAATCCCACTGCTGGAACATCTAGGCTTGCAAAACTTTGGCAAGGTATATGGACAAGGGGCTGGGCGTGGTGGCTCATGCCTGTAATCCTAGCATTTTGAGAGGCTGAGTTAGGCAGATAACCTGAGGTCAAAAGTTCATGACCAGCCTGGCCAACACGGCGAAACATCGTCTCTACTAAAAATACAAAAATTAGTTGGGCGTGCAGGTAGGGGTCTGTAATCCCAGCTACTCTGCAGGCTGAGGCAGGAGAGTCGCGGAAACCCAGGAGGTGGTGGTTGCAGTGAGCTGAGATCGCGCCACTGCACTCCATCTTGGGCAACAGAGCGAGACTGTGTCTCAAACAAAAAAAAAAAGACACATGGACAAGGATGTTCCCTGCATTGCTGTTAGTGATAGCAAAGAATTGGGAGCAACCAACACATCCATCAAAGAAAGGACTTTGGCATATCCAGTGGAATATCCTATGGAAAGCTAGGCAACCATAAAAAAGAGCGATAGTCAGCCAGGCACGGTGGCTCACACCTGTAATCCCAGCACTTTGGGAGGCCACGGTGGGCAGATCACAAGGTCAGGAGATCGAGACCAGCCTGGCAAACATGGTGAACCCCGTCTCTACTAAAAATTCAAAAATTAGGCCAGGCGCGGAGGCTCACGCCTGTAATCCCAGCACTTTGGGAGGCTGAGGCAGGTGGATCACGAGGTCAGGAGTTCAAGACCAGCCTGGCCAACATGGTGAAACCCGTCTCTACTAAAAATACAAAAATTGGCCAGGTGAGGTGGCAGGTGCCTGTAATCCCAGCTACTCGGGAAGTTGAGGCAGGAGAATTGCTTGAACCGGGGTGGCAGAGGTTGCAGTGAGCCGAGATCGTGCCATTGCACTCTTAGCGCGGGCAACAGGGCAGGACTCTACCTCAAAACAAAACAAAACAAAAATTAGCCAGGCGTGGTGGTGCATGCCTGTAATCCTAGCTACTCAGGAGGCTGAGGCAGGAGAACTGCTTGAACCCAGGAGGTGGAGGTTGCAGTGAGGTGAGATTGCGCCATTGCACTCCAGCCTGATTGACAGAGCGAGACTTCATCTCAGAAAAAAAAAAAAAAGTGATTATCACTATGAAACAATCTTCAAGATACACTAACTTTTAAAAAACATAATAAATCAAGAGGCAGAAGAGTGCCACAGTTTAAAACACAATTCCTCATGTGTCTTTCTCTACATGCATAGAGCACACACACACCTATCAATAGAAGACAGGCAGGTATCTGTCAGAGGCAAGGCCCCCACCCGTTGACAATGCCCCTTTAAGAGGAGGACTACAGTGGGGGCAGGTGGTTTTCTTCTTAGCACTATAGGCATTCTCTAGCCAAGTGCACATATTCCTTTATTTTTTTATGTCAGTAGGGGATTGTCAGGACCATGAAATTATGGGCCACTTTTATTTCTTCTTCCACTTATTTGTTTTAATACCCTAAGAAACAAATTCAGAGTCTACCAGATGACTCTGAAGTGCAGTCAGACTTGTGGGCCACCAGAGCCTGGACACCTCCAGATCATGCACATATTCCACCTGGCAACCCTCAGAAGGTGGACTGAAAATGCAACAAAGGGTACCGGAGGGGACTCCTGCATATCCCAGGCTGGGTTATAGGATACAGGAGGAAGGCTTCAAGGTCCAAGGCTCCCAAAGTAGAAAGCCATTTCTGAAGCTTTCTCCAACTAGCAAATAAACTGAGGGGCAGATAGGTTAAATTTCCCAGCCAGACACTAACAAGGATCTCTTCAGAACACAGGAATGAGAGTTACAGGAAGGGGGATGAAAGACACATGTCAGCAGAAAAAAGGAAAGAAAAATTAAACTGTGATATATCACTCACAGACAACCAAGGGGACAAAGCACAGAACAAAATCAGATCACTGTTCATCTCCTCAGCCCTCTGGGGTCAAAAATCCAGAGGCTTTCTTGTAGAATGATCATCCTGATGCCTTCAGGCTGCTCTCCAGGAACAGATGTTTGGCTAAAGAACCAGTGGGGTAAGAAGACCCTGTGAATGGGCTGGTTTCCAGACAGGGGACTTTTAACTTAGAATTTGTCACAGAAGAGGTTGCCAGACTTAAACGCATTAAGATCTTGTCAGAAGCATATCTTATATATGCTAAGACCAGCAGAAAGAAGAGTATGTGTTAAGGACATCGACAATAGGTAGTATGTGTTCTAAAGGTTTTTAAAATTTCTCACAGGGAAGCCCCTACTTGAAAATATATTTTAAGCAGCAAGATTAAAATTTTTTCTGACCCAAAATGTCAGCCCTTTTAGACTAGTTCCAGAAGGATGACCATAAGAAGTTTTCCAAGTTTAAAATAATCAGAAATACTTAATGAAGGAAATGGTTATCCATCTAAATCTTTCATTTTATTTAAAGAAGTATATACTTCTAGCACATAGAAGTAATGGGTAATCACTACTGGTGAGACTTTTACAATCTTATAGATTCATTCATAACTTAGAATATATTGGGCTAATATATTTGTGCATTGTAAGACTTAGGTTAAAAGATGTTTTTGAGGACAAATATTCAAAGTGCTGTTACTGAATCTTGAATTAGTATCAGAAGAGGAAAGGATCAAGACAGATCACTTTGGTTATGACACCAGATGACAGTAAACACAACACATCGGAGAGTGGAGGTCTCACTGGAACAGTTGAGGACATGTGAGGTCTTCTGAGTCTCTCACAAAACACTAAACATGTATAAACTTTCACTTCTAAAAAAGAAGTTAAGTTACTACTAAAAAAGATCAAATGTCCAAGCATCACTCTAAAGTAGAACTCTAAAGTGCAGGGAAATCAATTCAAGAATCAGAGATATTCTTGCTTCTATGCTGAAAAATCATCCAATACATGGTCACAAAATACAGACATGAAAGTGGGTGAGTCCAAGAGCTGCCATCTTGGATTAAGATGATGGGACTCAGTGAGGGTACAACAGCCACTTTGTTACTATGGACATGCCTGTACTTACATATTTGAATAGAAACTTAGTAGACCAATACTAAAGATGATGCCAGAATCTATCCCTAAGAGGTGGAACTTCTGTTATCATCTCAGTGAGTAACAAGGACATATTTCCCAAGAGCACACATGTCCCATGCTCTCAATTTAATTAAAAAGAATTCTGCTGCACTGTTTGCCACCTCTTTAAATGAAATGTGATGGTTTGTTGGTTTTCATTCACTCACTGTTGCAGCCGCTGCTGCCTCTAGTCCCTGTTGGCTCGGGTTTGGGCTGACTGGGGCCTCCACAGGTTGCCCTTCCTGATAGTGAATGGAAGAAAAGAGGAAGGGGAGAGAAAACAAAAGAGGGAGGGAGTGAAGGGGGAGACGAATGGAGGGTACATGGAAGGATGAAGATGGTCAGAAAAGGGAGAAGGAGGGTCTTGTAACTCAGCTGCTCTCCAACAGGAGTCATCATCTAACAGCCGTTTAAGAGTCATGCAACAAGATCGTTTGGGTTTTCTCAGGCAGTGTAAAGAAAGTGCTATTGGATACCCAGAAATTACGCATGATACTGAACATCTAGCAAATTTAACTCTGTGTGTGTGTGTGTGTGTGTGTGTGTGTGTGTAGAATTCATATACACACAGACATTAAGTAAACATATATACATATGCTGCTTTTTTAAAAAGAAAAAAAATCAACGTGCTTTAAACCAAACCTTTTTCCCAGATGTTTTGGTCAGTGAAAGTATCACAGTCTCATTTGAAAGGAAAATGTCTCAATGTCAGTCCTGTGGTTGCTCAGGCAAACCACATGAGTGAGTTCACCCGTCTGCAGCTCTTGCAGCCTTGCTTGGCTTTGGTTGATGCTACATCTAGACAGGCACAGGCCTACATTTTCCTGAGTGCAGCGTGAGCAAAGCATGACCAGAAAAGGTAAAAAATTGTGACTTTTCTCTACCCCAGCTACTCAAAGCTGAATCCAGATGTCTTGAGCAGCAGAAACGTTTCTCTGACCTGGCAGGCCCAGTGCTCGTGCTGGGACATAACATAAATGCGTTTTGTTTGGTTGGTTTTTTTGTTTTTGAGACAGAGTCTCACTCTGTCCCCATGCTGGAATACAGTGACACAATCTCGGCTGACTGCAACCTCCGCCTCCCAGGTTCAAGTGATCCTTCCACCTCAGCCTCCCAAGTAGCTGGGACTACAGGCTCGCACCAGCACGCCTGGCTAATTTTTGTATTTTTAGTAAAGACAGTGTTTCAACCATGTTGGCCAGGCTGGTCTCAAGCTCCTGACCTCAAGTGATCTACCCACCTCGGCCTCCCAAAGTGCTAAAAGTGCTGGGATCACAGCCGTGAGGCACCGCACCTGGCCACAAATGCGTTGTAAGAGTATACAGATTTGTGGCTGGGCACAGTGGCTCACACCTGTAATCCCAGCACTTTGGGAGGCTGAGGTGGGCGGATCACGAGGTCAGGAGTTCGAAACCAGCCTGGCTAACATAGTGAAACCCTGTCTCTGCTAAAAATACAAAAATTAGCCAGGTGTGGTGGCGTACACCTATAATCCCAGCTACTCGGGAGGCTGAGGCAGGAGAATTGCTTGAACCTGGGAGGTGGAGGTTGCAGTGAGCCGAGATGGTGCCACTGCACTCCAGCCTGGGCGACAGAGCGAGACTCCGTATTAAAAAAAAAAAAAAAAAAAAAAGAGTATACAGATATACAGATTTGTGCATAATTATCTTGAACAAAAGAAAAGTCTAGTAACTTTTAGCAATAAAAATACACCTACCAAATGCTTTCGCCTCAGATACTGACGGCGAAGGACCAGTGGTTTAAACAGCAGCATCCAAGGTACACACAGTAGCGCAACCACTACCAGGAAACACTGAATTCCTTTCTGCAGAGTAAGAAGAAGGACAAGGTACATCATATAAAAGACTACTGATCACATACGCAGTTTCCAAGTCTGGCACAAATTTGCCCCAACAGTACTTTCTTACTAATCTATGAATAACACTATCCAGTTTCACAAAAAAATTAGCACATTTTGTGGCAAAGCTCTAGAATTGTCCCATAGAAGGGCAGTTATAAATTTTTTAGGGTCAGAGAAACATCTGGCTTCCTGATCAAGGATAATCATCTCAGATAGCCCGCCTCTGGGTTGACGTACCTGTCCAGAATACAACATTGAATAACCAGACTCTGGGTAGGAAAAGAGGAACATGTTTATGAAATGGATCAGAAGGCTTGGTGCATTCTCAGATGTATGAGCATCATAGGCCGTCCACTTGTAAAAAATAAGGATAACCAAATAGCCAAACAAAGAGGTCATGAAGATTATTTCAGGAATAAATCCAAAGTAGATATTCAGGGGCTTCTTGAAATAGCTAAAAAAGAGAGAGAAAAAAATGTTAAGGGTAAATGGGCCTAGGGCCACTCCTACACTGAATGGCGTATTCACTAGATTTTTCTATTTAATACCCCCTGAACTCCGTCTTTATCACTTTAAGCAGCAGCAACCAGAAGCTGGAGGCAACAGAGACAATGCAGGATTAACTATCACGGTCAAACTTCTGAACCTTGGTTTTGTTTTGCTGTTGCTTTTTCTTCTTTTTTGAGACAGGGTCTCACTCTGCCACCCAGCCCAGAGTACAGTGGTATAATCTTGGCTCACTGCAGTCTCAACCTCCCTAGGCTTAGGTGATCCTCTTATCTCAGCCTCCCGAGTAGCTGGGACTACAGGCATGCGCCACCACATCCAGCTAATTTTTACATTTTTTTATAGAGATGGAGTTTTGCCATGTTGCCCAGACTGGTCTCAAACTCCTGACCTCTGGTGATCTGCCCACCTTGGCCTCCCAAAGGGCAGGATGACAGATGTGAGCCATTGTGCCAGGCCTCAAACTTCTGAACCTTGAACGGCTCCAATACCATCCCCACGATTCTCTCCATGAGAAAGAGAACAGAAAAATCTAGTACATTTTGAGACCACAGTTCATAACTTTTTTTTTTTTTGTAGAGATGGGGTCTCTTGTCGTGTTACCCAGGCTTGTCTTGAATTCCTGGGCTCAAGCGATCCGCCTGCCTTGGCCTCCCAAAGTGCTGGCATTACAGGTGTAAGCCGCCACACCCAGTTCACAGTTAATAATTTTATGAGTTGCACATCAAGGAAAAAAAGAGAGCTCACTTACTTTGATGAAAATTGCTCAAGTTTTTTTCAAGGATCTTTACTGGAACAGCAAATTGTTAAAAGACTAATATCAAGCCTCATTTAAGACCATGAAAAAAAAATTTCTTTTTTTTTTTGAGATGGAGTCTCGCTTTGTCACCCAGGCTGGAGTGCAGTGGTGTTATCTTGGTTCACTGCAACCTCTGCCTCCTGGGTTCAAGCAATTCTCCTGCCTCAGCCACCAGAGTAGCTGGGATTACAGGTGCCTGCCACCACACCCGGCTAATTTTTTGTGTTTTTAGTAGAGATGGAGTTTCACCATGTTGGCCAGGCTGGTCTTGAACTCCTGACCTCAAGTGATCTGCCCGCCTCATCTTCCCAAAGTGCTGGTATTACAAGTGTAAGCCACTGCACCTGGCCCGGCCATGAAGACTTTTTTTTTGAGGCAGAATCTTGCTCTGTCGCCCAGGCTGGAGTGCAGTGGTGCCATCTTGGTTCACTGCAACCTCTGCCTCCCAGGTTCAAGTGATTCTCCTGCCTCAGCCTCCCGAGTAGCTG